TTAAAACCATTAAAGCCAGCCCCTCAACACACATCATTAAAACAATTTTAAAAACGAAGTTAAAATTAAGTTAACTAAGTTAAAAGACATACAAAACATAAAAGCAGCAATTAAAATATTGGTTAGGAACAAGAGATCGCTGAGGGAGTATCAAACAAAACAAAAAAATGTCTTCCCTCTCTGGCAGAAGATGGCAATGGAAGGGGACAGACGAATCTCCCTGGGGAGAGAGTTCCAAAGCTTTGGTGCCATGACCAAGCAGGCCCTCTCCCAGGTTGCCACCCACTCAGTCTCAGAAGTTTAGGACACCTGAAGTAGGGTCTCCAAAGATGACCATGGTGGTTGGCCAGGTTCAGGGATGGCCAGGTGGTCCTTTAGGGATGTTGATCCCAAACCATCTAAGTAAAGACCAGATTGGAGTGATATGGTTCCTATGACCCACTCCTGTCACCATCCTGGCTGGAGCATTCTGTACCAGCTGAAGTTTCCAAATACTCCTCAAAGGCAGCCTCACATAGAGAGTGTTGCGGTCTGGGCTATTTTTGGGCAGGAACGCACAGGAACGGAGTTCTGGCTGGCTCCCAAGTTGGCCACGCCCAGCAGGAACTCATTAGCATAACAGGCTACACCCAACAGCAGAAACCCATTAGGATTGGCTACATTAGGGGTGTGTGGCCTAACATGCAAAGGAGTTCCTGCTACAAAAAAAGGCCCTGGGTTTTGACAACAAACAAGGTAAACAAACAGTGCAGTCTTGGGGGGGGGGGAGTGCACAGGAAGCCAACTAGATGCTATTCCGGGGTATCTATGTGGTATCTATGTGGTGCTGTACCCTGGCCAGGTGCCAGTATGGCAATGCCGCAGAGCAACACGTGTGCAAGAAGCTGCCCCAGCAGGGAAAGGGGCAGGCCCGGGTCTTGCAGATGTCAGTTGGCTCTCTAAGCTGCCCCATCCCAGAAACATCCTCCCAAAACAGCAGAAAATTACACTATCAAGAACCACAAGTGCCCGTACAGCAGGAAAGGCCTAGTGACCCAACAGGTGCGGCTCCACCCAAGAGCCCCAGTGGAGCACAGGAAGCGGACTACAGTTCTCTGCAGCCAATCACCCTCCTCTCCAGTGGTGACCAAACCTCCTCCCTTCACGCTATCACAGCCCCTGCTGCAGCGCTACATGAATCCCACCCAGGGCGGCCCATAGTTCACTAGGCAGGGTACGCAGCACAGGGCTTTATCGTGAAGTCGCACTTCAGAGAGGGAGAGGCACGAGAGGGCACTTAACACCATGCAGGGAGCACTTAGCACAAATGCCCGAGAGAGCGAGCAAAGTCTATGGCTTGTGGCTAACAGATCTTATTTCAGAACTGTAACAGATACCCCATCTTCAAAACCTCAGCATGAAGGGGCGACCACACACTGAGGTCAGCAGTAGTGAGCCCAGCTGCCCTTGCCTAGCAGTCCACACCTGCCTTCCCCATTCTCCTTCACAAGCCCAGGTGCCTCCTTGACAATGCCGACTCCTGCCCTGAGGCTGGCAATGTGTGCAGAGGGGAGTGCAGAGGTCATTTTGTAGAAAGAGAGGTGCAGGAGCTCATTAGCATAACTCATTAGCATAACTTATTAGCATATGCCACACCCCCTGACATCACCAGAAGTGTGTCAGAAGGCAACACCCACCGCTCAGGCTCCACTGGACTGTTTTGGATTGCTAGCTATTGGGGGGGGGGGGGAAGTGCGGGTTGGTGCGCCCAGAGGAGGGAGAGCT